TTGTTCTTCGTCTCGGGCATGAAAATGATCTGATAGATCCAGCCGAGGAAAGCAATACCACCGTAGAAGCCCAAGGTCAGACCGATGCGGGTCATGGAGTTCATCATGCGGGTGAAGTTGTAGGTGACGATGAAGGAGCAGAGGAAGAGGTTGGCGTCGGCGGTGGTCATGCCGTAACTACGCAGATAAGTGGGGAAGACCTCGGCGGGCACGACCCAGGTGAGACAGGCGTAGGAGCCGAAGAAGGCCTGGTAGAGGATGATACCGGTGAGGTAGATGCCCTGGGCGGCTTTGGGGTGGGTCTGGTAGTTGATCTGGTAGCCGATGCCGACCAGCACTAAGCCGATGAAGAAACCGGGGAGCATCGCATTGGCCCAGTAGCGGCGGCCGAAGCGCTCCATGTACAGCACCGCTGGGATGGTGCCGATTAGGAGGGAGCCACCACCGACCAAAGACATGAAGACACTCTGGCGCTCGTCGAAGCCGATGGCGCCCATTAGTGTGCTCATGTAGTACATGATGGCGTTGACACCCGTGAATTGGCCGAGGAAGACCATGATGTTGGCGTAGATCATGGCGCGACGGGCGCGTGGCACTGTGATAAAGTCCATCCAGGCGTACTTCTTGGTAGCGGCTTGTTCTTCGCGCTCGGCCTCCACGGCCTGGCGCATGCCCAGGAACTCGTCCTTGGCGTCGTAGTCGTTGAATCCGCGGATTCGCTTCCACACGCCATAAGCTTCCACGGGCCGGCCCTTGTGCATGAGGTAACGGGGACTCTCGGGCAGGAAAATCATACCCACCAGCAGAATGGTCGAGAACACCAGGGATGATCCTAGGATGTAACGCCAGTTACCCTTGACGTCGAGGAAGATGGCGGCCACGGCATAACCCAGGACTTCTCCGAGAGCGATGTTCAATTGGTACAGTGAGACCAGGTTACCACGCATCTTGCGGGGTACTGGAGTGACGTTAGTCGATGATAATGATGATGATGATGATGTGAAAAGGAAGTAAGGGGTGAAGGAACATACCAGACTCGGCGACATACACAGGGACTGTACCACCTTCCAGACCCACACCCATACCGAGCACGAAACGTCCAGCAAAGATCATTCCGAAGCTGATGGCACCGGCCTCCAAGGCGGCACCGACGGTATACAAGATGCAGGAGACGATGATGGCCATGCGACGACCCAGGTACTCGTTGGCGGGGGAAAGGATGAGGGCACCGGCCACGGCACCCAGAGGCATACCAGCATCCACAAGACTACTTTGGTTGTCGTTAAGGTGCAATGCATCGGGCAGGTAGATGTTGGCACCACTGATCAGGGACTGGTCCAGACCGGAGAGTAGACCACCCATGGAGGCAAAGGCCACTAGGACATAGGTATACACAGATGGATTGGAGAAGCCCACGAACCAAGAGGGCTTCTGGCCTTGCAGCTGCTCCTCGAGCTGCAGCAACTCTGCATCCATGGCAGCTTCGTTGAATTCCTCGATGGCCTTGGGGTCCTTGAGGACATCGTCCATCTCCAAGGCCGTTCCCTCCTTGTGGTCATCATGGGAGGTGTCCAGGTCGTGTACGACACCCATGATTGGAAATGGAAAGTGCGGTGTGACAGCCGCTTGTGATATTAGAGTAGAGTGTTTTTTTCTTTTATGATATGTACAAGAGAGGTACAATCAGGGCTAAAAGAGCATGTGGGAGGGGCGGGTTATTCAACTCTCTTTGCGGGTGGGAGAGAGGGTGTGAAAAAGAGAGAGAAGATACCTCCCACTACCGGGGCAAGGATCTTCTGTATAGAAGAGAGATAGATAAGGTGGGGATAGAGACACACGCAGAAAGAAGAAGAGAAAGAGGTAGAAATATCTGGGGAATGCCAGAAGGGGGGTATTTAAAGGGCACACATATCGGCCCATGGGCCTCCTCCTCCTCCTCCTCCTCCTCCTCCTCCTCCTTCTTCTCCAACTACAACTACGTACGACTGAGACTGACTACTACCTCATCATTCCCCAGAAGCGTCATCGGCGTATTGAAGAGAGAGAGAAAAGAAAAGAAAAGAAAAGAAAAAAGAAAAAGTCAGAAAAGAAGCAGGACCCATCATGAGGACCGGGTTTGACTCGTTAGTATCGGGCCGTGGAACCAGTCAGGGAAGCCGACCACGCGAGGGCCAGCCGGAGGGGGGAGGGAGAAAAGAAAAGGAAAAAGAAGGGAAGATGCAGAAGTGGGGAACGGCATGATGGGCAGCAAAACAGAATCAGCAGCAGCAGTAAAGATGTCTGACCATTAAGCAACAACCCGATGGAATGAGTGGAATGGAAGGAATGTTTGCGATGCTGATTCTTCCCCAGAAGAGAAGCGGAGGAGACAATTTCCCCGTGGGCAGCACCCATTACCTAAGCCGGTGGATTCTCGGCGATACTCTGACCAGTCATCGGTCATTGAAAAATACCACCATACGCTTATTCTGGTTAGCCTCGTGGGGTAGGTTCTACTATGTAGTTGCGCCATTTTATTCCACTTTTCTTTTGGGCGCTCTCTTTTCGGGGCCCCGTGACTCTTTAGTCTTTACACTACTCCATACTGTTACTACTTAGTGTCGATTCCCCATAATCTCTGACTGGTCTCGCTATCTTACTCCGATTTCTTCCTTCCCTTCCCCCCAAAGGTTCCAATCCTCTTCCCCGTTCCCCGTTCAACTCTCCACAAGCCCGAGTCCCTCATTCGTTAACTTTGCCCTACACCCCCGACACTAGTCTTAACTTCTTGCTGGGCCGTGACAACACGCGCCCCGGGCTGAAGCGAAACGCAAAGAATGAAAGGATAGGAAAAAAGTCAAAAGCATGGTCTGGATGGAAGCCTTCCCCACTTCTATTTCCCCCCGGCAAAAAGGCCTTCCTGGCCAAGGGAAGAACGTTTACGCCCAGCTTTTTCTTACCTCACTCAAGCAATGCCATCAAGCAACAAGCAAAATTATGGTCAGCCAAGACGGCACGGGAAGGAAACATGGTTTTACTGGCAAGAAGGAAAAGCTTGTGGGATAATACAGAGTTTATATTATAGTCTCTCTCTCTCATCTTGAGACCTGAAGATAAAGGTAAGATACACGAAGGGCTCAACTAGAGAAGACAAAAGCAGGAACAACTCCCAGAGTCCCCAGTCCCAAGTTCCATGACAACGAAAACCATGGAAAAGTCCAGTCCACTAAGATAGATTAGCTTCCTCCTCTTTACTCCTCTCTTTCCTCTTTCCTTCTCTCTCTTCAATTTCATCATCCCGCCCTTTTTCCCCATTCCGCGGACTCCATCCGAAGTACCACAAGACAAGACACTAACCAGCAGTCCCCATCTTGCAATAAGCCCCTGCAGCCACTAATTCCTCTTCCTTGCCCCCTTCGTTTTCCCCCACACACCACCACCCCCAGCCCAAGGTAGTACGGCGTACTCCGTAAATGGAGTAAAAAGTAAATTAGCCTAAACGTAAACGAAACTAAAAAAGCAAAATAAAAAAAATCTTGCCCGACCATTATCGTCTTCCCGGCATGCCTACCGGTTTTCGTGCACTAGGATCCGCTCCCCCTCCAACATATGGCGAACCCGGCCGACTACCACTCGAACTGCCCGGATTCTGCCCGGGACTGGGAGACCGGCCCCCGTGTAATCTAGCTCGCAGTCTCTCTTGAGCCGACGCCGCTCGCTCTAGCCCTGCACCTGCACCTCCTCCTCCACCTGTGACTGGACCCGAGATCGTCTGATACGACCCGGCTCGCTGGCTAGGCAGCGGTCTCGCTGACCCGGTCGGCACACCTGCACCAGGTGACGGACTATGCGGTGATGCAATCATCCCCGATGGTGCGCTGGCCGTGGCGGCTAGAGGCGCCCCCATGTTTCCACCACTGCCGGGTGTCAACCGACCTCGACGCAGACTGGCCGTCTGCGAGGCCGGCGCCGTCGTTGAACCCGAATCTCCCCACAAGTCTCCCAATCCGCCGCCTCCGCTGCGTCCATACGCCGATGCTGCTGGACCACCGCCGCCGCCGGCTGCTCCTCCGGCCTGCACTTGCGTTGTCGCGATGACCCGTGCCGGCGCTGGTGTTGGCGCTTTCGGATCGGGGGGCAGCCAGTTCGGGAAGGGCCGTCCTTTCTCCGTGTAGTAGGCGCGCAGCACGTTGGAAATGTGCGAGCAGTCTTCGTTGTCTGGGTCGTCGGCTTCATCGCCTAGGGTGATGGCTCGTCGGAGGGAGGTGAGCCGCGTGCCTAGGTTCGAGATAGCGGAGGATGAGGTCAGGGATGAGAACATGATGGTGATTCTTGTGCTCCTTCTTCGTTCGTTTTCTTCTTGTGATTCTGGTTTGTTTTATGCAGGTTCCCCCTGGCTGGTCGGAGATGGGGTCTCTCAAAAGGAGGTGAGTTCCTTAGGTGGGGTCCGCGGTTATCGGGGGGTTCAGGACACGAGGAGAGGCTGATGCTGGTCCGCGGGGCAAAACAAGAGCCGAGAGGATTAGCTGCAGCGGTGAGGAATTAAGGTGCTATTGAACACGGTATCTCGAACCGACCAGCGTGTAGAAGGGTGATCAGGAGGTATTGGTGCAACCCCTTAGGGGAGGTTTGACATTGATTGATTGATTGACCTCACGGCGGTTGTTGGCGATCCACTCGGTTTCACTTCCCCCGCTGCACGTGAGCTGCTCCAGTCGGTTTCTTTCTTTCCTTCACCATCTGACACAGCCAACTGGTGGATCTTGTCGCAACATTTGTAACCTGTTTTCTGGCCTTCATGTAGTTGTGATGTACATAGTCTAATGTCGCAGATCAGAATTTTGGTGAACAGTAAATTCATATATGCAATGGCGGGGTATGCATGCCCGATCGCAGCAGAGCAACAATAATAACAGACACAAAACAACTCTAAACCAGACAACGCCATACAGTACACGAAAGCAGCAGCAACATCAACATCAACAGGAACCCGTGCTTTTATGTTCAATATCTCACTCCCTTCAAGCCATGATGCTCTCCTTACCAGCACCCTCGGTCTCGTACTCGATCTCAACACGGGGACCCTTCTTCCTCGGCTTGATCTGAGGAGCAGGACGCTTCCGCTTGAATCCAGGCGCAGGCTTCTTAGCCTCCTCATCAGAGTGATGGCTGTCATCCTCATCATCCTCATCACTGTCCTCTTCCTCATCGCTCTCATCATCATAATCGTCACTGGAGTCTCCAGACCCCTCACCAATCCAATCCTCAATATCCTCCAAATCCTCCTCATCCTCATCAATATCACTAACATACTCAACCTGGCCAACTCCCTCCTCCTCTTCCTCATCCTCAAACTCAATCTCTTCCCCATCATCGAGATCCTCATCCCTCTCACCCTCTCCACTCCTCTCCAACCCACGCAACACCTTCTTCCAAATTCCCTCCTCAACATTGAGCGGCCGATCTCCATAAGCACCACTCCTCAACCGCTCAATCAGCTCCCTCTCAATCGCCCTCTCAATCTTCGCCGCACTCTCTGCCTTGCGTTCCCTCGCCTCCTCTCTCCGCCGAATCTTCGGCGCCAACTTCGTCACCACCTTCTCCCCAAGCCTCTCGTCCTCCTTAGCCAACTTCTTCATCCGAATCGCAACCTGCGTCAACCGCGTCAGACGCTGCTTGCACTTATGCACCAGAAACTTCGGCCAGTAGATCAGCCGCTCGTCCAACTGCTCCAGCGCCTTCGCATAGTTCGACGACAATCGTATCCGCTCCCACCATTTGCTGGGCATGTGCGCCCGTTCCACCGTCTTCATGTACAGGTACATCGCGCCTGTTTCGGGGTCCGACCGGATCGTGGCGTACCGCGAGTTGGCAAGCGGGCACGATTGCCGGTTGCAAAGTCCGCTGACGTTGTATTCATTTCGGCAGAAGTTTTGGTTCTTAGTAGTTCTATTCAAAAAGAAAAAAGTTTATGATTAGCTTTTTATTTTTATACTTGCGAATTATTTTCTCTGTCTCTTCTTTGGCGGCTCTGGTTGTGATATATGTGGTAGGCGGAAATTTTTTTATAGCGCGGATGGATAGTAGAGATAGAAATAGAAACTTACTTGAGCTTGTAGGCGCAGAATTGCTGGTTGATAACCTGCCAGACAATTTCGTCGGACGACATCTTGCCAGATACTTCTCACGGTGGATTGGTTTTATCCCCGCTACAGTTAAACTTGGTTTTGCTGGGGAGAAAAGGGAAGAGGGAGGTGCTGCTTGGCCGTCAAGGTGATGATTTCTGCCGCAGAAAAAAAGTTGCCGCAGTGATTGGTCACGTGGGGTCCACTGGGTTGCTTATCGATAAGGATGGTCTGTCCATCCATTCAAAACATTGCAAATGCTAATATATGAGTTGTAACACAGGGATTTGTATAGAAAAGTGTGTTGTGCAATTGGGGTATTGTTCATTCATCACATAACGTTAATGTCTATCGTATGTACCGGGTCTAATAAATATCATAGGTTGTGGTAGTAGGATTACCATCCTTCCATTTGCAGTGGAGCTCCGTCCCATTCGGTCCCCGTCCCGTTCACCATAGGCCCGCCCATTTCAGCGTCCTCGCTGCCTCCGAAGGATTCCTCACCTGCCATGCCCCATCCCATTGCTTCGAGTTCCCGCACGAAGAAATCTCGCTCTTCTTCCATCATAGATGCGCCTTCTTCACCTCCCATCACGTCCTTGTACCGGCGCAGATGCCACCAGTGCGTCAGCCCGCGCAGTGCCTGCTCCAGTGGCAGCGCTTCTTCCACCTCCGAGTCGATATCTCCGCCAGATAGCCAGTCGTCGCGGAGCTCTGGTCGGCAGTACAGATAGATCGCCGTGATCACCCGCATATTACTCTGTCGCCATTTGCGTCCACAGTAGGGCACCTGTGATTTGAAGAGCTTGAGCGTGTAGAACCGCAGGTGCGGATCGGGGATCTTGAGCCCTTTGCGAAGGATAGTGCTTGACTTGTACTGCACCAGGAGGAGGCATCGATGGGCCTTGTCGCGGGTGATCTTCTGCATGATGTGGAGGTAATTGATCGCCGAGAAAAAGTTGCGGAATGAGAACACGGTAATCGGCTCCTTAGGTGGGGGAGCTGTAGGATAGCCTAGCTCGTCAACTTCCGGACGATGAGGCCCTTCCATAAACTCGGGAACAGGTACTTCGGGCGACACGCCGCGTACTGAATTGCCTGTGTCCTGGCGATGTCGGGTGATGGGCGGAGGGACAGCCTCGTCGTCACTAGGTGAGGAGTCCTCATCCAGGTCGGTTGTCGATTCCGGTGGCTGATTCGAATGAAGATGGCAGAAACGGAAGAAACTTCTTTTGGTTAGTACATCTAGACAGCTGTATCAGGGGAGCACCTACCCCAGTTCCTCTCGATCATTCTTCTGCGCTACTGCCTGGTCCACATCCTGGTGGGCAAACATCTTGAGAATCAACGGCAGGTAGTTGGAGTCGAGTAGCAACTGCGTCATATACTCGAACTTCAAGATATCTGAGGCCTGTTAGCACTTACTTCCAACAGTCAGATCGGAGTAGCTTACGAGATCTCTTGAACCACTTGACAAGCAGCAACAGAGAGCCAGAGATCGCTTTTCCGGTGATTTCCCGGAGACGAATATTGTCGAGCTCATCGATGGCGGCTTCAGAGTTGAGATCAATATGCCCGTTGACATGATTGGCTGGGAACCCATTGATCACCGATCCATAACCATCACTAGATATGATGCATCAGTATACGCTAGGCAATGGCAATTACAGGTGTATTACATACCCCATGGCCTGAGCAGCTTGTCCGTTGGCCTGGCTCACCATGGCGCTGACATTCGTTAGGATTATCTTCAGGAAGACAATCGTTATAGACTGTAGATGCACCAGTGCTTGTCTCTGCGAGTTGTAAGTAACTGTTCAGTCACCTGGGGCATCACGTAAACTCACGTAGAACGCTTCAACGGCATCCAGGCGTCGCTGAATATCCGCATTCTCAGTTTCCTCTTTCGGTGTGCTATCAGTACTAGACCTCTTCTCGGAGACATTTAGGTCTTGCAGCTCATCTGCCAATCCACCAAGGGTGTTCTCGTTCAAAAGAAGCTGGTTTTCATCAGGATACCAGCCGCGGTCGTATTTCATAAAACGCTCTCGCTCTTCCCAGAGTTGCCGCATCGCCCTTGTCATCTTGACATGGGTTGAGAACAGCCTCCCAGCCTCGATGATGGACGCCGGAACGTCACTACCCTGCCACTTCTTTCCCACAAGATTATCTTGCAGCTCTGTGGTGCCCTTTCCTCCGAGGTCATTACTTGAATCATCTAGAGGAGGGTACATGAAAGGAAAGTTCTGGTTTGTCTGGTAGTTCTGCTTCTTCCCCGCTTTGCCGCCAGGGCCGATGGGTGACGGTGGAGGAGAGGGTGCCGGGGTAGCGATGTGGACTGGGTGATGGATGATTGAACCACTGCCACCCGCCACAGAAGGGCCAACTCCAGAAAAGGGACCTGCAGAAGAGCCAATCCTGCTGGGATGTTGCGGGAGTGGGGGAAGAATCGAATTATTTTCTAGCTCTAGGGGAACCACAGGAGGTGGCGGATTATATGCAGGATACTTGGATGTAATCTCCTGTCGAAAGTTGTGGTAATCCAAGGGCGAGGCAGTGAGAAAAGGGGTCCTTCGATTAGTGGCTGTTTTTCTTGCCTCGAGGGTCGGCTCTAGTGCTTCCTTGGCCTCCTTCAACTTGTCAGTGCCTCCGAAGAAAAGCAGCAAAGACTTCCAAAATAGAAGAATGACTCTGGTCAGCGGAACATTGGCAGAGTCGTCCCAACGCAACCGCGCAATGATTTCCACCAGGAACACAAGCAGATTTGGCTCCAGACTCATGAGAGTATCTCTCAAAGGGGCATTCTGGGTATCAAGAGCGTCTTGCTTGCGGCCGACTTCCACAGACAAATAAAGAGCCGTCAACACCAGATTTGCTTCTCTCTCCAGAGCAGCAACATAGGCAGGGTTGGCACCCTCTTGTCCCGTGTTGTCTGCGTCCGGTGCGGAGGAACTGCGATGCCTCTCAAAGACACAGCATAGGCAGTCCATCAGCGGCTGGATACCCGAGCATTCTTGTAGCAGGCAAACATTCTGTTCAATCCATTTGATCTGAAGTGACCGGCTTTCGGCCTCTGCACCTGGCTGAGGACGACCCTCCGGGAGCTCATCCACAACTCGACCGGCCGTCAGGCCCCAGACACCAGTCAAAGCATAGCATATGGCCTCCAAGGCCTCAATTCGGACAAGAACTGCACGGTCACCTAAGTTATTAATAAGTTGGCTCATAAACGTCTTTCGTAATTCATAAGAGGCGGTGATCCAGGACTGCATAGCACTGTCCACAGACTGGTCTTCGCAGAAACAACTCCATCCATGGTCAAATGACGACTTCATGCCAATGAGCATGACTCTGTCGAACTCGCTGTACTGGAACCATTCCTCGACTTCCTCGGCGAATGGCTGGGAGTCTGCATACTCGAAAGCATAGGCAGGCTGTTCAACCTTGGGCATCTCCTGGACCAACTGTTTCAGCTGAGCAAGACTCAATGAATCAGATGGTCTTTCCACATGTTGCTGAACCGGAGCTGGAGGCGGTGGCTGTAGAGGAGGCGGTGGGGCAGAAGCATCCCGACGCAGCTCAGGGCGTTTTGGTGCTCTGTGAATCTCTACTGATGCTTCATTAGGCACAGTAGGTACATTCTGCTGCGACTGCTCCTGGCGTATTCCCTCAGCTACCTCCTCCATCAACTGGTCATCCGAAACGGGACTGATGTCCGTTCCAGTTTGGTCAACTTCATCTGCTTTAACGAAATGATGCTCTTGCATGGCACTATCCGCAGGCTCCGATGCATCATCCATGTTTGTGTAACTATGGGGCAATGGATTTCTAGAGACGACAGATCACAGAAGAAAATAATGAAGGATGTTCAGAAACAAAATCAAGGGTATCAGTTGGAAGTGAACCGGGGGGGAGCCCGGAAGAAGTTAAAAGAGAAGATTAAAATCCAAGCGACAAAGCGGAGTGGGAGAGAGAATGTCAGAGACTATCCAACATGGTTGTTTAGTCAAGAAAAGGACACATGGTGTCTTTTATGGCGGTTTTGAGGCAGCTCTCTCCGCAGTCTTTGTGAATCGACGATGACCACGCGAGGAGTTTCGGGGAAGCTGTCGATCCGCGGGAGCTGGCGGTCACGTGCGAGGAACGCCCCTTGAAGTGGATCTCTCAGTAGAGATCAAGAAGCAAACAATAAAAAGGTTGTTCTCGATTCTACGATCCTAGAAGATCCACACGCTATTATATTGTTCCTACAATCTTTCTAATAGTAAATTTCCATCTCCAAGGCCACATTCACTCCCGAGCACTTGTACTAACTTGAGTAATTACTTTGTAGTAGTAGTGCTTAGTCCCCGTTCTCCGGTAGTAAGTAATATATATTCTGCGGATCTGCATCATGTTCCAATTGGTATCATCATGTCCAAGAGTTACTATTACTAATAATCCTTCAACTTCAATTGATGTACTAGTACTAAGTAGCCTAGTGTCTTGTACCACCACCCTGATAACATACCTTTACATAGTTGAGGCCTATAATAGTACACAAACTTGTAATTGTATTATCTGTAACCCCCGGTAGAATTGAACCAAACCGCGGAACTTTCACTTTGCAGGCCTTGTATGCATTTATGTATCAAGGGCAGTGAGATCTATGGGTATCGCTGATGTTGGCATGTATATGTGATTGCTCTTCAAATTCGGCACCTTGACATCTTCAAATCGCACTATTCGCTTTTTGATGATGTCCGACCACTGGGCCCTTTCCGCTTCGACTTCTGCTTAGCCTCCCAGCGTTGCCAACCGGCCTCGGCGAGATCTTCGTTCACCACCAAGTCTCTCACACGAAAGAATCGAAATATCTCGAGATTCAATGCCCAATCAATCCATCCTTGCGAACGAAGAAGCCCGGTGATGAAGAACCAAGCGAATGCGCATATCACACCTGCGCCACATCCAGCCAGGACCTGCCTGGGGGTGTGGTAGTTCAGGTAAATGCGGCTAACGGCTACTGCACCAGCACCGAGACACAATACCAAGGAGATCAACACTCGCATCCAGAAGTGAAGAGCCGCTCCTGACTGCGATAAGCTCGGGCTGTGTCGGTAAATGAGGAAGAGTGATGCATAGACGGCGAGATAGGCCATGAACTGGGCATGAGAAGATGGCATGCCATAGCCTTTACCCAACATTTCTATAGAACGTCGTTAGTCCCACCCGTTCAGTATTAGAATGCAAAGTCCTCTGCACAGGAGTACCTACGTTTTGGCCTTTCCTCTTTGACAATCCGCTTGAGCACGAAATTCAGTGCCTCGCAACCCATCTGACCCGCAAACATCAAGACTACCTCAGCTTCCCTTGAAGCAACGATCAGGGTAGCATAGCTCACGCATAGCGCTTGTGGCACTAAGGCAAGCCAGGCAGAAAGAAAGGAAATTGGATCACTGGGGTCCTATTGCCATTTGGTGGGTTTGGTTAGCGATGGTCTGGCGTTGAAATGCGGGCTACTCTCGCTATTAAGGAGCATTAACAAACGAGAACTTACGTAGTGGACGTGAGTCAAAGACAAGGACGCCAATGGTATATCAGCCATTTTGTGTGACTCGGAAGTCTCAGACCGAGATATTTATTGAGTGATGTATCTCTCTATATAGCCTTGTTGGGAGCTTGCAGACGGCGAGTAGACAAAGGACAAAAAAGCTACCCAGAATTACAATACCCACTGGCAGAACGAGCTAAACCAAATCAGAAACCCGATCAAGACTGATACTCAGACATAACGTGTGAGAGAACTATCCGGAATAGATGGATGTTGAGATCTAAAATGGCCCCGCCTGTTGATCGGGCCGATAATTCTCTAAATCAGGATGGCGGATGTCTGATTGTGACCAGTCTAGGCGATATCATCATCTTTCCCAGGAGAGATAGGTCACGCGTCCTGCGGATGGCGGCACCGCCGCTTTTGAGTTGCAATCCCAACACCGCCTTGGGAAAAGGGCAGAACTAAAAGCGGCGAGAGGAATGAGGGGGAGGGGAAGATCGGGGGGGTTGGCCTCAGGCTGGCAAGGCTGTCGAGTCACCCAAAAAAATAACGAACAATCGAGAACATTTTCATTTCATTTCATTCCATTTTCATGAATTTCCATCATTCAGTTTTTTTTTTTGAAAATGATGACCAAACTGGGCAGCAAATCCCGTGCCTGATGCCCATCCCATCCTTTTTTCCCACACACACAAACATGTCCTTTCCTTCTTCTCCTGTTCGGTCCCAGCCAGCTCTTTAGTTCTTGCAACCACCTTCTTCCCACCTGTTTAACTACTGCTGCTGCTGTTAATCCTCTCTTATCTCTATCTCGGGTCATCAAATCATGACGCACTTCCCCCCAAAGCTTCGTTCTGATTGCCTCACCTCCTGTATATCTGTACTACAAACCACTACTAGAATAGACACTGCTGCTTCTTGTCTCCTTCAGTCTCGCCCGACCCTTTCCTTCTCCTGTGTTCGTCTATCGGCTCCACTGCCTCCATGACTATTGCCTGGTCCGCAACCATCGGCCGTACCTGAAAGGTGCACCTCCCTCCGGATCTCCGCCACCGGACTTCCTGATTGATAAAACTATCCCCTCTGGCTAGATGCTGATCCATGGACTAGTTATTCTTAATTCTTTGCCCTTTAACCACTTTCTCCCTCACCGCCCTTAAAACTTCTTTTCACTTCGATTGCCTCCCAGGGGAATGAACATTATAGAAAGATCGGAACAGTGACACTACCCGGGGTATACTGCGGCCATACCGTTTCGGCCTCGCTTCGCCCGTCAGGCCTTCCTTGCCACCCAACACATCCGACAATTTGCATCGATCAGCTGGGAGGATTTCGAGGCTATTGATTCATTCCTTACACTGCGGCGGACTGTTTCATCATGACAGAGCTGGACTCGTTTCCAGAAGATGAGCGCTCGGTGGAGTTATCATCCATTGCCGCCATCTACCCAGAGATCAAGTTAGATCCGTCCTCGCCATTCAAAGCATCTCTCACTTTACCGGTTAAGCCGTCTGCTCCCCTGCGTGTCTGCTTCCAGCAACAATCTGAGACGGAGTTCCCCGCCGTCCTAACTCCCCCCACCTCCGTTGATGCCAACGATCCCGGCTTTTCTTTCAAGACAGGCGACCATAACTCCGCTAGCCTCAATCGCGATATTCATACACTCTCACATCTTCCACCCCTCTGTCTCGAAATTGAGCTCCCCCAAGGTTACCCTACCGAAGAAGCGCCCGTCTTCAGGCTCGAAACAAGCCCTCCGTGGTTGCCACCTTCCATATTATTGGGACTTTTGGATGACGGAAAACGTCTTTGGGAGGAATGTGGCAAGGACCTCGTGGTATATACATATATCGACCATCTTCAGCAACTGGGGGAGTCTGCTTTTGGGGTTGGTGACATATCCGGTGGCGAAGTTCAACTTCCGCGTGAGTTAAAGATCGCATTGCTGGACTTCAACAATAAAGCCGAACGGGAAAGGTTCGAAGAGGAGACCTTTGAATGTGGAGTCTGTCTCGAACCCAAGAAGGGCACGATCTGCCACCGACTCGTGCTTTGTGGGCATGTCTTCTGCGTGCCATGTCTCCAAGACTTTTACAACACTTGTATAACGGAAGGCGATGTCGAAGGTGTCAAGTGCTTGGCTCCTGGCTGTGGTAAAGAACCAAACAGTGCCTCTTCCACCGATGCCCGCCCGAAGAAACGCAAAAAGCAAGATCGAACCCTGAGCCCCAGCGAGCTCCTGCAGATCCCACTGGAACAAGAGACAGTGCAGCGTTATGTTTTTTTGAAACGGAAGAAGAAGCTCGAGGCCGACAAGTCGACTGTGTATTGCCCACGGCAGTGGTGTCAAGGAGCTGCGCGATCCAAGAGACACCCTAAGCCCGTGGATCCAATGACAGACGACCTCGACGCCTCCGATGATGAAGATGAAGAGGGACCTGTGTTCGACCCCCTAGGGGAGGAAGCTCAGCTGCCACCAATGTCCGAGCGTGTGGCCATCTGCGAAGATTGCAACTATGCCTTCTGTTGTGTTTGCAAGAAGGGCTGGCACGGCGAACTCGTACGGTGCTTTCCTCGCCGCGAAGCAGAGCTCTCCGCCGAAGAGAAAGCAACGGAGGAATATCTGCGTATGTACACCTCGGCATGTCCGACATGCGATGCTCCATGCCAGAAGCAGATGGGTTGCAACCATATGAAATGCTTCAAATGTGACACCCACTTCTGCTATCTCTGCTCTAGCTGGCTCTGCGAAGACAACCCCTACCGCCATTTCAACGACATCAGCAGTGGATGCTTCAATCGGCTGTGGGATCTGGAAGGTGGTGACGGCATCAACCCCGATGGAGCCGCAGCCTTGCATCGTGTTCCCGACGAACTGCTCGATTTCGACGATGGCAGCGACGACGAAGACCTCGTAGCTTGGGAGCTTGGCAGACGACCTCCACCCCCTGCTCCGGTCCCTCCAAGAGTCAACAACGGCGCAGCCGGGGGCAATCGCCATCGTGGAAACAACGCCAACGATCTCGATGCCGCAGGCCGAGCAGCCGCCGCCGAAAGACAAGCTCAAGCACGAGCAATGGCCGAGGTTCGCCGTGGTCCAGATGGCGAGCCTCCCCAAGTCAGACGCCCAGGACTCCAGAGGTTTCTGGACCTGGTCCTGAATGACCGGGAAGACGAATGGGACAGTGACGAGCTAGATGATGATTTCTAGCTAACGCCCCCATCACTTCCATGGATTCTAAATATATCGGACCCTCCTACCACGCCTAACCTCTTTCTGGTATCTATACTTCTTTCTCATGGATATACCGTATCACGACTCATGTACGTTTTGCAAAGCTGCCATTTATCTAACTATGACCTTGACGACTATGACGATGCATGCATCCTGCATTAGCGAAAATGTTCATGGGTATTGGACATCCTTTTTCTGTTTTGCATCACATTGCATTTCAACATCCAAAGTTCAATTCAAGCCGTGTTGATCTTCGTTGGCATGTATATCACGATATGTTCTCTGTTTCAAAAAAAAAGAAAGCAATTCCCATTTAGTCCTCTACTTTGTTACATTCTTCCCAATCAGAACATTACATCTCGATTACACCATAGGGTAAAAGGGTAAAGTAAGCCATACATCCGTACAAACAACACACACACACACACACACCGGAGTCAGAAGATGTGTCCATTGAGACCACGGAAATAGAAAAGAAAATGGGGAGGGGCCTCAGATCCCGAAATATAAGAAACTAAATAACAGAGAGAAAAGAAAAAAAAGCTACCATCGAGTAACGTAACCCAGTCTTAGATAGAGGACCCCAGCACCCCCTGGACCTTCCTACTTCGAAGAAGATCCATAAACACACACACAGCGCTGTGCTAAACAGTTTCAGTGACATGAATAACAACAACATCAATGCGCTCCAAATAACGCCCCTTTTTTTCGTGAATGCGAAGTGAGGAGTGAAACGATCGATGATTCACACGCTCACGCTCACGCCTTAATACTTTTCATCATACCATATTGAATCTTAACATCAAAATATTTTGCATATAAGGGCCAGAACAGGGCCTATACAAGGAGAATATCATCTTCCTCGTCGAGATCCTGCCCATTTGGACCACTATCTGTAGTGTTCCACTTATACCAGAACTCGTAGCTCATGATGGTGTGGTCTGCGTACATGAGCATGAGCCGGTAATGGCGCGATGGGTTCCACCCGCGCCAACTTTCTTCGGGTTGGTAGGCACTGCTGGCACGGGCGTGGCATTCAGGTAAGCTGAGCGGGGGTGGTTGGGGGTTGTCGTCATCGGCAGCGGCAGGTTCACTGGGATCGACTTCGGAGTTGTTGATTTCTTCGAAGGAATTCTGTTGTAGCATGACGCTGCTTGATAGAGAGGAGTTGTGTTCGTCGTGACTTAGGTACTTGAACTGGAAGGCGAGGTCGTCGGGCTTGACGTCGCGGGGGATGTAGGGCACGTCTGGTGGAAACTCGAAACCTTGGATGGGACTGACGCTCATTCCTAAGATGGGGATGAGAGGACGGTCGCCGTATTTTTCTTGGCTCTCGAGGGGTACGATCCAGTCGATCCGGAATGATAGGCCGGTGGTTTCGGATTCCGTGAGGGCTATGACGGCTGCGCGGCCTTTTTGGGATGCGGCGATCACGATGCCATGTTCTGGGACATACTTGACCATGTTAAAGCGATCGCAGGCTCGGATGGAGACGACGGGGTGGGTGAGGGGTTGTCGTAAAGGGTCGCCGCAGACGGCTGTGGCGTAGTTTGCGAATGGATGGGGTATCAAACGGATGTCTGTTTGTGAGAAGTGTAGGATGGGAAATCGGGAGCCTGCTGAATTCGTATCAAACATGTTATCAACATGATGATGTCTACTGGGGGTAGAGCCGAGAGTATACCAACTCACCGTCGAGTAGTGGGCATGGGATAGGTCCCGCTGCTGATGTATCGCTATTGTGGGAGGAACTACTGTCGGCATTATCCAGCTCATGATCGGAACTGTAAGTGCCTCCAGCCAGGTAATAATCTATTTCGTCCTCAAAGAATTCGGTGCCGGGAGCTTCGCCGCCAAGAGCCTCGAGAAGTGCGAATTGAAGGAACTCCGGTGTGGTCAAGGGACCCGGGCCTATATGAAGAGCGTCAACTCCCTGAACTGCGCGGTTTAGTGACTGGAAATGCCCATTACCTGCTGCATTATGCGCCCCAACATCCACATCGGAGCCGTCGCGGCTCAAGTTGTCGCCATATACAGACCCGTTGACGGCGCGGTGGCTGAATGTGTCGGCGAAATCAAAGGGACGCATATTTCCCGTGGCCGTGGACAACCCGTTAGTATCGAGAAATTCTGTAGACGCGCCATCGCTTGGATACCGACGAAGTGCCGATGAAGTGCCGTCAGCAAAAGCAGCCTGGGAAGCGCCGTTTCGTCTGCTGATGCAACAGTCGGCTCCAAATATGTCGGGCAAAATAGGTTCCTCTGACTCGATCTTCACTGCGGGTGGGAAGAAGTTGTATATCTGCGAAGCGTTCGGTATCCGACTGTTCGCTCTCGTCAGGTCATAAACGGTCCGGCCGTTCTTTGCCCGGCGAATGGGTGGGCCCCCGCAAGCTTCTTCAGTAGACTTAACACGATGGAAGGTCCGCGGGTCGAGGGCAATTACAGACCAGCCACGCTCACTATTACCTTGTCAGTGGTCTGAGTCCTAGTGTTTAAGCTGGGGATGGAGCTGTACTCAGAACGTAGGGTCTCTGGGAAGAACTTGAAAGAGACATCATTGAAGTGATTAACATTGAATGGGCCAAGACTATCCCATACCCGCCATACAAGCAGCCTATTGTCGATGTCTGTGCTGACCATCCAATTGCCGTTAGGGTCGAGATCGCAGTTCAAGAAATCAACACAAGGGATATTAGCGTAATGGCCGGTATAAGTCAGCTTGACATTTCGTGTGCGGTGTCTGGCTGGCATCAGATGCCGCAGCTGACTGAACTGGTCCTTAGTCCTGACCTCCAGCCAGGTCTGGCCGTAATCAATCATATCATCATCTTCGTCTGGTTGATAGCTCGAGCTACTGCTTTCCGAAGTGGGATTCACGAGTGCAAAGGCAAAAACGGTTATAAGACCCGTGTTCGCGCTCACTGCAATGAGGCGGGCGAATTTATGGATAGCCAGGCCCCAGGCACTAGCTTGAACAAATTCCACAAAGAACGGATCCACCTGGGATCCATCGAGGGGACGTTCTTCCTTATTCTCTGTCGCTCGCTTCAAGGCAGAGAAGATGGCCTCGACCCGGTAGCCGCAGACGTTGCCGGAATCCGTGACAAGTAACAGGACCTCGTCTCGACCTAAATCATCCACAAGGATGTTGTTGATCGCATGTGGCGAAGCTGGTGCAATATAGCCGCTAGCATGAGGCACTTTCATTACTGGAGTTATTATCATTTCGGGTTTGTTTCCCAGCGTCTGAAACGACCCTGATGGCTCCCAGACATAGATTTGGTGACTACAGGCGACGAACAACAAGTTTCGACGCTGAGAAAGCGCCATCTTCAGCAAGATTAGCACATGACAATCATGCAGCACAAGGAAGGCAGCAATAATACCAAGTTGTTCCTCCAAGTGGCGGTCTGAGGAGGGAAGGTATCATCTGCGCTGCAGTTTCGTTCAGCATCGCCAACAGACAGCGGTTCGGATCATTGGCAGCAGAAAACATACGAACAGTACTTGGCGGGAGGGTCAGCAGGCTTGTAGGTCGAGTTGCGCATTGGGAGTAGCTTTCATGACGGTGGAAGAGGGGTAGCAACATACTCTTTTGGACCCTTTCTCAACATTCAAAGGCCGAAGCTGTAGACCTTCTCGAGGCCGCGCTTTTGGCAGCTTACCAGCATCGCTACCGAACGCCATGTCGGCAGCCCGCAGTCGCTTACGGGGAGGATATGGGCTGGATACAGAGACAAAGTGTGCCGAAGTATAGTTCCGACGATCGACCACTCACGTTCTGAGGCGTACGGATCGGGGGAAGTGAAGGCGGGCAAGATGGACTACCGACATACACAGGCGTCGAGGGGCAGTTCTGGAGTGAATAACAAGCTCGGTGACATCACATGGAGTCGAACGATGGCCGGGTTTGCTGTCCGAAGCTGCGGCGGGACTGGTGAGTCTGGCCAAGACACATACCACCCACAAGAGTAGAGCGATGTAGAAGTTCCTGCTCAGGAACTCACCTCCGGGTAGATGGCCATCACAAATCGGATTGTGCCTCAAAACAGCCGGGCTGATATGAGGTCACCCTCAGCCCGTCCTGGCTGCCTTAGGCACCCGACAACGCACGTGCCACCGGTGGTTCTCCGGTAGCTTCAGCTTCACTTCCCCGATTCATTCTGGGATTCTTTCCAACGTGTTGGATCAAATCACTACTTCCTGTTGGGTTAACCCTCGAAATGGATCTCGTTGCAGGAGTTAGGAAAGAGGGCAGCCGGTTAGTCACCCCAATTCTACCCACCCTTATCATGAGATAATATCCTAAACTAACTGTCACCCCCCAGCGGCGGCCGCGGCGATTTCAAATGGTCCGATGTCAAAGATTCCGCGCATCGCGAGAACTATCTCGGCCACTCAGTCATGGCGCCTGTCGGACGCTGGCAGCAGGGAAAGGATTTAATGTGGTACGCAAAGGGAGACGGTGATGACGAAGATCAGGCCAGAAGGGAACGTGAGGAGAAACAGCGCGTCAAAGAAGCTGAAGAAGAAGCGATGGCACGAGCTTTAGGTCTTCCGATACCGCCGAAGGCGTCAGACAATGCCAACTTGGTGCCTCTTGGGGACAAAGATGGACAAAGGACTATAAAGGAGGAGGCTACAGAAGATCGCGATGAGGAAGAAGGAAAGGGCCTTGGGTATGGCTCGTCCCGACGCAGCGGCCGTAGTCGAAGCCCGGGGAGGGATCGAAAGCGAGACCGCCCAGGCGACAGAGATAGGGACAGGGACAGGGAACGAGAGCGCAGGCATCGCAGGCATGGTGAGGAGCGCGAGCGACGTCATCGGAGTCATCGCCACAGATCTAGAAGTAGGTCGCGCGATCGCGATCGCGACCACAGAAGAAGACGCTCGCGATCACGGTCAAGGAGTAGAGACCGGAGACGTGACGACCATAGGAGACCGCGAGAGGATCGTCATCGTGCTCTCCCGAGAGAAAGGGATTCACCCGACCACCATCGACGACGCTGAAATTAGGGTCGCCATTCTTCGATTTGCATGGTATTCTCGGCGTTTGGGATTTAACATTGTACAGACTTTGATGATACTCCAGGATATCTAAACTATACCATACATACTTCGCTTATATGGACTTACAGCTCATCATGGCCCTTCTGCGCGCTGGCGGGCAGATCGGGCATGGACATCATCTTCACCACCATACTGGTCCAGCCGGTGAAGTGCTGGGTCCGCTGTCCGTTTCCGGTCTCGGGGTTGTATTGCTCCCAGGCAAATCCGGTCTTCTTCCACTCCTGGAAGACATTCTCAACTAGGTTCTTGCGCAGGTTGGAATACAGCTCACGAGCCTGTTCCTTGTGAGGACCGGAAACGATGGCAATATCCTAGAATGGAAGGTTAGCATTATTGATGGCCGTGTCTGGAGTAGGTAAATACTTACGTAGAGATTCTTAAGCACCAAGTAGTTGATGTTAACCCAGATGGGGCTTCTCCAGTAGTTCTCAGCAGTGCCGTAGAACTGGTCCTTCTTGCTCAAGCTGCGAATACCATAGTCGCTCCAGAGCTCCTCCGGGTCACCAATCAGATCCAAAACGGCCTTCAAGCGGGGGCTATCCGGGCCCAGCATGCCAGTGAGGAAGGGGAAGATAGAGATATAACCCTTGTGGCAAACGTGGACGTGCTCCTCATATTCATCGATAGTCGCATCGCAGTAAGTACGAGCGTCATCATCCCAGTGAAGATCATCGATGTTTCTCTCGATGGCGGTCTCGTAGGTCTTGAACACCTCGGCGTCCTCTGTCTCCCCAATGGTCACCGCAATGCGACGAAGAGCACGAGTCATCATGCCCATCCAGCTCATAAGGTCGACGTGCAGCTCACCGGGGTGGGGAGGTTGAGGCCGAGGATAATCATCCAATCCAGAAGTCAGGATATGCTGGACCGAGCGTCCTCGCCAGCGGTAGGCTTCCCTAGTAGAGTACGCCTCACGGTCGTAGGACTTGATATCACCCTTCTGGGTGCTTCTGTACCAGTAGTAGTGCTTCTTGAGCAACGGGTAGATTGAACGGATAAAGGCTTCACCCAACTCGGGTTGGTCGACAAAGATAGAGCGGAGGTTGTCAGAGGCTCCAGAATCAGCGTATGTCTGCATCGAAGCGTTCTTCTTCGCATCCAGCTTATCGATGAAAGCCTCCAGAATGATGAAAAGAGTCGGAGGGTTGGCATAATGAGGGTATTGGATCGTGAACTCGGGAGGAACCTTGCTGCGAGCCTCGGATCCGAGAATCTGCTCTCTGGCAATCCAACCATCTTCATCCATCAGGTTAAGCCAGCTCTTGACGATCTCAAGCCTTGTTGAAGTTAGTGGATTTGCAAGTACTCTGGATTTCGGACACTTACGCAAGGTCTGTATCCCAGTCGATAACTGGAATCAGGTGGAAGCCTTCATCCCAGAGGAAACCTCTAGGGAAGAATGGGCGGGAGGGAACGCAAGTGAAGAGATCCTTCGGGCCTTCGAGAATAGGCTGTGCCCGGCCCCTAGCCTCTGCAGTTTCTTCCCAGAAGCCCTCATTCTCCTCGTCATACTCCGGCGCAGCCGAACGATCTACGATATCTGTTCCGTGGAAGAAGCCAATGCCACCGACAAGGTTCGAGAGCATGGACTTGGAGAATTCGGTGTATTCCGCAGTATCGAATGGCGCTTGCGGGGGGTGGATGCTTTCAAACCGTTCAGAGAACTCAAGAGAGGCGCTTGAGATCTGCTCGGTGAGAAGCTCGGCTGTTGAACAGACTCGTTAGCACAGGATAAACATCCCGGTCGAGGGCAAAATGTCTCACAAGTCATAGGCTGCGGGGAAGATGCAGAAGAGAAAAGAATATCGAACTAGCAACAGTGAGTAACAATCCATAAGCGGGTGTTATCCTGCAGTAAGTACCTCGAAAGAGCCCTTGAAGACCTTCTGCACCAGATGCATATTACCATCCCCGGGCTCATTCTTGATGGTGAAGAGCTGGTAGGGAGGGGGAGGGTTCTCCGATCCATACTTCTCGACCATTTCGTCGACCTCCTTCTTCATCTGCGTGAACATGATAACTGCGCATAAAGTTAGCTGTTGTTACCCAGAATGCATGTAATGCAACATCGAGCAATGGAAGCCGAACCTTTAGTCTGCCAGAGCTGCTCCGGGTGCATGGTCAAGCTCGACACCAAGGTACGGTCCAAGGGCTTCTCGTCATAGGTTGGGTGACCATGCTCCGGGTACTCGTTGCTCTCAGGACCAGAAGTAACATCGATCGAGAAATCGCCGAGATCCGTTGTAAAGCCACCCAACTTAACATCACCCGCAAAGCCGTAAGGATCCTCAGGTGCGCCCTCGACGCCCAAGTTGCCAAGTCCCTCCAAGCCTGCATAGAATAGAACGGTTGTGGGCTGATCGGGATCAGCATCTTCGCGGGGAACACCCTTCACACGAGCAGCCCAGCTGCCTCCATGTTGTCCACCGGGGACCTTCACGAAATCGATCGTTAGATCAATGGAGTTTCCGGCATCATGAATTGTCTGGCGGCCACCCTTCCGAATGTCGTATTCATCCCAGCCATAGCCAGCCATGCCTTCATTCTGCTCGCAGGTATGTCTAAAGTCTTTTGAAAAAGGTCAGTTCACAGTTGGGCGGATGCAATTGTTAGAAGGAAGAGACCGGTTTGCTTGTTCCGGACACATACTCTGTTGCGCCGTGGCATAATTGTCCACCTTTGCCCACATCAATCCTGCAAACAGACTGTTCGGGATGCGAGGGCGAACCCCAAAGTAGAGGTTCGGTTTATACGGGCCCCATAGTAAAGACTGGTTGTTGGCTCTCGCTACCTCGCTGCTTAGAACGGAGAGATCATCGGCCGGAGCTTGACTGGAAAGCACAGCAGCGGCATTGAGTACCGGCGTTAAGTATGCGGATATCTTAGAAAGATGCATCTTCTATATCGAAAGCATCCAGAGCTAAATTCAAACCTCAGAGACTGAGGATGATCATGGAGGGGGCAAATTGACACCGATGCGGTTCAGTTCATGGGAAATGCGCGTTCGTTGTTACTATCTGGCATCTGCTGGAGCGGCCGGCCTCCGCTCCGCAAATTACGTGGCCCAAGCTCCACCCCCCGACAATGGGTCCTGCAGCCTGCAATAAGCTCCTGCTAGAGAGAACTATAATTCTACCTGCAATTTTTGCATTTGACGTGCAGAATACTATCTACAGGCTTTTATTCTACAGGAAATTCCTTGGGTCCAGCGAACCGATCTTCGCACTTTTAGCTGCACCATCGAAGACGAATTCGCTAATCAGCTTGCCAGTACCCGGGGCGTTTTGTATGCCCCAGCAAGTATGGCCAGCAGCAAGGTATAGCCCCTTGGTGCCAGTATGACCAATCAATGGACCCCCGCGTGCAGCAGCCACATTGGGCAAGTAACAAGCCTGTCGGGCTAAGACTTCGCCATCACGGAGTCGATCAGAGATGCTGCCGACCTGGTTGATGATATCCTGGCATCGCACTTGATCTACTTCCACATCTGCGCTGGTTTTCGGAAGCGGAACAACGTGATCGCCTTCACCACATGCATAAACTGTATTGTCTGGGCGAGCATAAATCTCCGGCGAGGCCTCATCAGGTCGAGAAGGCTTCGTCGGATCGAAATTGGCCGGGAGGTCAATGCTGGTGAACAGAGTGTATGCGCTGACTGGCTCAACTGGCCGGATAACAACACTGTGTGCGCGAGTCGCCGTGATAGGGGCTTCTGGCAAGACCGACCTCGTCCAGGGACCGGCAGCAACAACAACGTCCGTTGCGGAGATGCTGTGCGATTCACCCGTCTTCTTGTCAGTATACGATACTGACTGGACAGCATCTCCGTAATAGTCGATGCCGGTAACGGAGCCCAGTATTATCTTTGCACCCTTCTCTTCGGCAAGCTTAGCGATAGAAGTGGTGAAGAGATAAGGATGAACCTGGGCGGTCTCTCCAGGATCACTCATGCTTGTGTAGCTTCTCACAGCCTCAGGCTCAAACCAGTCTAGATCCTTGGGAAACTTCGCAGCTTTTAATTTTCCCATGGCATCGGCGCTCCGCTTCTGTAGTGACACCGAGCTCCCACTCGCTCCTGCGCTGGCGTCTTTCTTGTCGCTGAGAGGACGGCCCTTCGCCATGAGCTGTCCGCAATTGACTTCTCGATAACCCCATCGCTCCTTGCCATTGTGCTCCTTAGCCAAGTCCGCATGCAACTTGTAACTCAGTGGGACGATGTTGCTCGGGTAAGCCCACAATGCCAGAAGGCCTCCTGCTTTGCCCGATGCCCCTCCTGCGATGTCGGATGCTTCAATGAGAGTCACCGAGTGCCGTGAAGGGTCAAAAGAAGGATGTCTGGTCAAATAATAAGCTGAGCAGCATCCGATGATACCACCACCTTAAGGAAAAAGCCATTAGCACGCATTTTCCGGGCTGTGCGGGGTAGATAGAGATAAGTAGATTGATGCGCATGTGGCGCACACGTACCAACGATCACAATTTCACGGCGTTCGCCAGAAGCTGACATCTTGTGGTATGGCGCAATCCTTGATGCTAAAGCCCTCAGAGAAGCCACGATGGCGAGATGACGAGATATTCAAAGTAATGACGGGGAGTCGAATTGGTGTCGGAAGCAAGTCTTTTGAAGAGGGGCCTATACGTCACAGAGGTCATGTGCCGAGGATCCTGATAAGTCTTGATTATATTACATCTGCCCTGATTCGACCTACTAAGAACCAATGCAAGGATATAGACAGGCTTTAAAAGGTATCTTATTTGCTTGAAAAAAACAGTCGAGCGACAACAAAAGAAAAAGCCCTCCATAGATCTTGACTCCAGCCATGCATGAAAATTGATATCGCCCCAACAAAGAAACATTTAGAGATGTGAAATAAATCGAAAGTGCAAAGTTAAGAATATGAGCAAGCGACGACCGATGATATCGTGAGGGTAGCCGGGAGACAGAAGCTTTTGGTCACCTCGAGGGACTGAGAGGTCTGTTGAATCCTCCGACACGATTCATGTACTGTCTGTACTCCGTCTTCTTCTCCTTGCGGACGCCATAGATGTCGTTCCCGGGAACCTTGGTGTTCTTCGTGCTCCTGAATTTCGTGAATCCCATGCTGCGGCGCATCATTGCCTCGACATCGTCTTCTCCCACAGCACCGTCACTGTCCACATCCATCTCATCTTTGTGCCGGTTCACACCCGACTTCGCATCCGTAGCACCGTTTGTCTGCCCTCTATGATCTCTGCGATCGTGCCTGCGGTCATTCCGGGGTCCGCGAGGTGGCGGCGTCCGCGACCGGTCCCTGTTGCCGTTCGGAAGAGGTGATCGCGACCTGAACCTGTCTCCTTTCGAAGGGTAGCCTTCATGTGTTGTTAGCATCTGTAGTTCAGAGGGATTTGGTTTGACTTTGGCATACCGCGTCTATCATAGTGCCTATCCCGACTGACACTTCTTTCTCTGTCCCTCATTCCCCGTCCATCTCTGTCTCTGTCTCTGCGGTCGCGGTCACGGCGATCCCTGGACCGGCTTCTATCTCGCCTCCTGTCCCTCCTATCTCTGGAACGAGAACGATATCTCCGGTCATCGCGAGGCCCATCGCGTCGTCCATCATCTTTCGCAATATGCTCCCGGCGAGGGCTTCTGGTATAATCTGGTTCTACTTCGGGTGAACGTGTCCTCCGGTCGTCTTGGTCCCACATGGCTGAGCTATCGACACGGCGAGCACGTTTCGCTGGTGGTTCCGTCATCTTGAGGCCGGTATCTGTGGGAGTTGTTGTGCTGATGGAGTGTTGTTCTCTTCGTGCACGTGTGATTCCGCAGGAGCGGTTGAAAGGGCAGGGGGGTAGGGGATGTGGCGGCAGGTAAAGAGATATCCAAAGTAATCAGTCCATTACCCTTTCTTCCCTAGATTTCAATGCCAATTGATAGAGATAGGCGCGCCACGCAGTGGTTGTAGTCTTGACTGAGTATGAGAAAAAGTGCTCCGTAAGTCAGGTCCCGAGATTGAAGGCGTGAAGATTATTACGGTAGCCGGTTTCGACCTACTGCGCGGCTTGTCAGATGGCCTTGAACCACCGCCGATCTGCAACCCAGGCCATTCACTATATGGATAAAGAGATGGATAGATTGTTTGTAGTATCTTGTTGCTATAATGTTTATAAATCGGCGACTTTTCACTCACAAGAGGGGAGTAAGCGCAAGATTGAGACACAACCAAGTGTTCCGGGAACTGATGCGGCCAGCTTATCGTTGCCGGAGATATGCGATAACCAAATTCCCAGGTTGATACAACTCTCACTTTGGAAGTCTCACATGACAGCTTGAACTGACTTTATACTATTTTGGGGATAATTTCTCACTTGAAAGTAATTCTGATAGCTGAAACAGGTTTCAATTGTTAGCATGTGGCCGCACTGGCCAACTTGGTGATCCAGTGAAGTATATTCTTAGTTTGAGACAGTGGGAAAGCCTCGTAAAGCTTTATTCCGACAACACTACGAGTAATAGTAGTAGTAGTATCCGCAGCATCAATATAGTATTCAGTACTGTAATAGTAACCAGTGATACTACTACTAGTATTACTAGTTGTGTTGAACTTCAACCTCAGCTAGTAGTACTAGGATCGATAGTACACTGCGACACAGTAGCCTGGTCTACGCAAGTTCATATAGACCCTATTAACCAATGACTAAAGAAAGAATCATCATAGTACTATTCAATGAGTCAGTAAGAGTGTCTATAGTGACATATATGGTTATGGCAAAGAGGGAACTATTAGTACATTTTATCACCTGTGATGTATGCAATATCTGCGGTAAAATGGTATGTGTTTACTTAATCTCAATAGCAGGTCACAATTATCTTAAGTATAGAGAAGATCAAATTTGGAATTCTGCTAGGAACATACTATATTATATTGGAGTATAAATTGTTTCCCCTTGTAAAGCTCTTGACCATCAAACTCTCTAAATTCTCCGAATATTTTATCTGCTGTAGTACCGTACATCATGCGGGTGGGCCGACAGCCCTGAGCTTAAACGCCAGCGAGATCGCTCATTGGAAATCCTGGGCGCCCCTCCATAGCTCGATTGATTCATGGACCCCGCAATCTTTTGTGCCGAACCGATTCCGATTTTCTTCAATTTTCCCATTCCCGATCTTCCGCTGCATGTCGCCCTTACCTAACTTCCAACTATGGCGCCCGCAAGCACGTCTCACCGACAGACCCATAATTTACTCTTGATCTCAAAGCTTCTTAGCCTGAGGGACACTGCATCACCGCTTACTTTGGTCTTGGACTCACTAGAGCAGCCCGCGACCCCACTGACCAAAGAATACATTCGACGTGCAAAGGTAGGCAATCTATTTGCTCTAAGCATTGTGAGGTTCTTTGTATGGTGGATAGTCGGCTACAGAGGCTTCCTCAAAATGGCCTCCATGCCATTGAACAATTACTTGTTTTGTCATCCTTGCCGTTCTGGCTAACTGTCGCAACAGCTTTCCAGGACCCATGTAACCCTCCTTGCCTTTGAAACATTGAAAGCCCCAGACGGTGTCGATGCATTCATCACCGCTCGCCGGAAGAGTCCTTTGGAAATTCTAAGAGCAGTTGGCGCTGCTTATCAGAACGTCTCGTCGAACAGTCCTTCTCGAAGTATGCCCATTCCGAGCTTCTTCCGTTGAGCTTGTACCGTGAAGCGGCTAACACATTAAAGGGAGACTCATCCTCATCGACGCCATTAACCCGCTTCTACACTCGAAAAAGAATGACCCTCAGTTCCATATATCACAGTTCCTCAGCTCCTTCCTAATCCCGTCGAATCCCACCGCTCCCAAGGTGGACGTGTCGCTCGTGGTAACCTTCCATCAGGATGTTCCCAGCCCACCTGCTCTCTCGCCTTACGCACCTTCGCCCCTCTCGATGCTGACTTACCTTGCAACTACAATCATTACACTCCATTCATTCTCGCATATTCTCGCGCAGAAAGCGGCACGCGATCGGAGTTTGGCCGCGCCTGTTTTTGGTCTTGAAGAAGAGCAAGATGGCGTGCTCCTTGGCCGACTAGACAAACCGAGTGGCCACGACTCATCAGAGGGGATTGTACTTGAGCTGGAGCACCGCAGGAAGAGTGGTCGTGGCGTTCTGGAATGGTACTTCCTTCCTCCCGCTTCTCGTTACCCTCCCCAATACCTGAAGGAGATCGTGACGTTGCTGGACGACCATCCCTTGTACCGCCCGCCACAGGAGCCGGAAGCTGGTGCAGGCGAAGAAGAACCCGAATCAACATTCGAACTGCGCCTTACCGAAAGACAGAGACGGGATCGAGAGGGTGTGGTGCTGCCGTACTTCGATGCCCAGCAGGGCGACGGTCCTGGTGAAGGAGGTCGCATCTTATACGACATGGGTGAAGAGGACGATTTTGACGAAGAGGAGGATGAAATCTAGGTTTAATTGCTTCGAGTTATTCATCACCCAGGCCCCTCATATACGCCACCAGGCACCATTCGACCGTCTGCGGAGTCTCCCTATGGAAACGTCATTTGCAACACGGGCCATGTGCGATAGAAGGATACGGATTCGCTGTTCAAGCTCTTACAACTATGCGACGACTTAAGATATACAGTCCAACAGCTCTGCCAGATATTTGTTCGAGCTGATTCAGTCCTGGGCTTAGGGGGATGGTGTCCTGCAACCACCAGAGACATTATCTATGCATACAATCATATTAGCGGGTATCGAGTTCGGAGCCGTTTTGCCCGCAATTAAAAGAAGCGCCACCAAATGAGGAAAAGAAAGATAAACCCAACACCCGCGACAGGACCATACTGCGACAAGTTAGCGACAAGTCTGCCGTTGCCTCAAGACTTAGAACCTACCTGTTTGACCAACAACTCCCAGTTGATCCGTACCGCGGCCTTTCTGTACTTCTTGCTGTCTTCTCGTAGACGGCCCGACAATTCACCCATTCTCTCCAAGCTATCGCCTCTGTATAGAAGGTCCTCGATGTTCTTGGTCATCACCTTTGTCACGTCCCGGAGCTCATCGTTCAGACGGTCGAGATTTTGCGACGCGCGACTATCCTGGTAGAGCTTCTTGGTGCGCTGAATGAAGGTGTCGAATTCCACAAAGGCATATGGGCGCAGAGTCGGGGATTGATATTGTGTCGGGGAATATGTGGTAGTGAACTCGGTTGCAAGATCGGCCAAATAGGTGAACGCAAGCTTGCGCGGATAGGAGTGATCGCATATGCAAAGGAAGCAGATATCATCCTTGATAAGATAGCTAACTCCGGCGGTCAGCCAACTTGCACCGAGTAGTTTTGCGTCGTACAAGATTCAAACACCAAAACATACTGTAGATTAAATTGACCGGATTCAATACTGGCTTGCGGCGCCGAATTGCGATTCAATCGGCGAAAGATCATCTTAGCCTGAGACTTGATCTCAGAGAGCTCCACTTCAGCCTAGAGAAGAACACCAAGATTCCCTATTGTCAGCTATCAAGCAACAATGGTGCAGTGAATGCGCCCTGAACCAAACTGACCTGCTCATCATCCACCGATGCCGCCAGCATCAAGCCTGTCTCGTAACATCAGCAAACGGCACACTTGGCTCACCCCCTCACTCTTCCTCCCCCTGAACAAGCACCGGGCAGCATCTTACCATCAATTCTGGCAATCTGTGTTGACCTGACCATCGTGGCGATATTTGTTTACCGTCTTATCACCGAATTAAACACTCCTTCTGTTCACGCAGTGGTAGGTTGGTGACTTCGGGGTATTGTCCAGATCTCCAATCCAGGCCCGCGGAACAATGGCCCGCCCTCGCAAGGCGGTCGACTGCGGCAGTTCAGCAGCGAAGCAGCAGCCAACAACAAGGTACGAATAAACCAACTACTGCTTGTGTTCTCTTCTTTCCCTTTTGTGTCTGGAACCAGACGCATATGACGACCGCGGAGGAAGGCCGTCACTAATATAGTGAGGAGTGCTGACCTTAAGAATGTTTCAGAAGCCGCTCCTCTCCCTCTGTGAATGCGGCTGAACAGAGTAATGCCGGCGAATCGAGCTCCGCGATGCCACCATCTATTACTACCACCAATGCTAAACCCAAGCGGAATCCTAGAAGAGCCGCGAAGGATCCATGGGAGGAGGAGAAGGTGATGACCAGTACGAAGTCACCGTTGGTTGATGCGGATTTAGTGGTATGTTGGAATCGCTAGATATGGCACTATCGATAGTGCTGGCGCAATGTCGGGAATGGTATGCTAATGACCTTATTGAACAGGGCCTACTTGCCAACCCTAAAGCTTGGAACTGTCTCGAAGAGAGCGAAAAGCAAGAGATCATAAAACTTCTCCCGGATAGTGTACACCCGGACCCTAACCCGCCAACGGATGATGATTCCGATGTGAAGATCCCCCCTCCTCCGCAGGAATTCCTACGCTACTCGAATAACTGGCGCGAAGGTATTCGGCAGTTTCAGGTGGAGCTCCAGAATGGGTTTCATGATCCGGAATGGTTGCGCCAGGCGGAACTGGCTATGGAGGAGAGGGCCGCGGGCGCGTTTGACAGGTTCAAGGAGGAAGAATTCGAAGAGTTCTGGGGACAGAAACAGAAGATGGATAAGACACTATTGGCAGGACAAAGCTCTCAGGTGAAATTGAAGACGCTGATTGACCATAATGTTGTTCGCGAAGGCGACGTCTGGAAGTACTCGCGATGCTTTTCCAAAGGCGCTGACAGAGTTCTGGTAGAGAAGGAAGCTAGGGTATGTGGAGACTTTATCGCATCTTGATTCGAACTTGACAACTTTGCTAACAACTCGCTAGATTGTGGGCATTAAGGGTGCGCGGTTGAGCTTCGTCATTCCTCCTGGACAGCGTGTATTTCTTCCAGTTGTCTCGAGCCAGAGCAAGCAGAATCAAAGCCATGCAGATGGCACAAAAGCCGATGTGGAAGCTGGTGATCGGCAGCAAGATAGTGATGCTGTTCAAACCGACTCTAACGTCCAACCAAACACTAGCGAAACGACAGAGCCTGCTTCCCCTAGGAAACACAAATGTGAAGCTGAACACGGCGACTGCAAGCGACAGCGCTCGCAGCCTCCAGAAGCCGATGATCAGCAGCCAGATAGTGATGCTGTTGAAAACGACTCCAATGTTCAATTGAATTCTAGCGAATTGACACAGCCCATGTCCCCTAAGAAGCGCAAATGTGAAGATGAACACGGTGATTGTAAACGACAGCGTTCGCAACCCCCAGAAGCCGACAACCAAGCGGCATCATCTAGCGAGGTGCCTGAAAATCAGATAGAAGCGGCAGCAGAAACCGCCAGCCCTTCAACAACGGCAGAGGCCGTTTCGTCCGCAGAGGTTGCAGAAATCTCCACAGCAACAAGTGAGAAGCCAGACAGCGCGGGCGGAGCATCAGACGAACCGTCCGTATCAGTGCCCGAAGCCCCTCAGGAATCGACAGAAGAGACGGAGGAGACACCTCCTGCGGACGCTCCCGACGCCAATATGGACGAGATATTGATCGAAAATATTCAGGGGCTTACTTCACTTGCCTCGAAGATTATAGAAGTCGATGGTCGTATTACGGACATTCCTAATGGGAATGCTTGGAAAGAGTTCCGTGCGTATCGGAATAATCAGGATATGGGTAGTTTATGGGAGGTGAGACAAGCTTGGTTTCAACGTGCTGGGAAGTAAATAGGATGGCTGGTCCTTTCTATGTACACTCCAGCATACTAATATGCTTTACTTTCTCCCGGTTTGGACATTCCTTCCAGATCATGGCGGTGTCGCCAACATAGTTAGTACAAGTCCCTCATGATACCTCTACCATACACATGAGCGGACTCCTCATTCATAATATTACCTAAAAAACTATCCAAAACACATCAAGAAACACAAGATATCATGCGTTACCATTAAAATCCCTCATGACCAGCACCCATACCCATAATCATACCTTCGTCCTTGGACGACCGACCAGCCTCATCAGCAGCATAATCCACAGCAAAGCTCGCCTGAATAAAGTCCTCCAGCTCTTCACTAACCGTCTTAAGCTTCTCCTTGACACTCGCCACACCCTCCTGTCCCACAATATGTCGTGACGGGGGATTCTCGTGGCCGGCGATAGCTGTGATAGCATAGACAGTTTCACTCACCAGCACCTCCATATGCGCCGAACTGAGCGGAGGATACGTTGATATGACCTCCGAGGCCGAGAATGGACCATCTTCAACAGAGTTCCCTTGGTTCGATCCATTAGATGACTCTGCGGATGATTGCGTGTTGCTCGACAGACGTGAGACGAGTCGGTTCATAATCCCGCGGAATAGTGGTGCCTGGTTAGCTGCGGACGAGTATACGGGTCCTATGGGTGGAACGCTGGTTACTAGGTTTGTGAGGATACCAATCTCGATGCTGCATTGGAATATGGTGAGTTTTATGTTGAATGGGGCGATCTCGTATGCGAGGCTCTGGTGGATGGCTTGGTTAGCGATAAGGTTGGCATGGAGCATTGCATGTGGTGAGGCTTACGTCGCAAAAGCCTTCGAGAGCCCATCCGGCTGCGCAGTACATTCCCAGTCCGGGTGTACCTATGTGAGCGGCTGTTCGTTTGGTTAGATCCTGTATGGGTGTATGTGGGAGGTAGGAGTTGTGCTTACTGATGCCGGAGAGGATCGTGATGTGCCCTGCCTTTTGCCTTCGCATGTGCGGCAGCGCTGCTTTGATGATGTTGAGTGGTCCGAAATAGTTGCTCTCAAACTGGTCTCGGACGAGATTCAGTGTTTGTTGTGAGGCCGAGAGCTCTTCCACTGTTCCGATGAGGGCTACGATGCCATTTAGCAATGTGCAAGATGGGGGTTTCGAGGCCGTTGAAGGCTAACCTTGGCTGGTACAGCATAGAAGAACGTCTACTCTGCCAAACGAAGCGACTGCTTGCGCCACTATGGCCTGGCACTCGCCGACCATCCTGTAAGTTATTTATAAGCCTATGTCATATGGTTGAGGGGGTTTAGATCCAATCATACCTTATGTCCAGAGGCAGTGCCTTGAATCGCTTCCCCCAACCTTCATTGCTTTCAATTTCTGCGAGAAAAGCATCGAACATATCGCGACGACATTCATCGCGATCCAGGTTCGAATGCGCCAGTCCGACCAGGGCATAGTCGCCATGCATTAAAATCTGGCGCGTCACAGAGATGCCGATGGGGGAATCCCCGGCCGTGATAACCCACACCCGCGGCTCATTATGAGCAGGAAACTGAGGGCGGGAGTAATCGGGAGAGGGCTGATTGTCCGCCATTGGGATAAAAACCGACCTTCATGAGGCTAACATGCCCATTGCGCGACTCAGTGCTTCTTCTCCAGGTTAGGCGGATTCGTAGCAGATCGGTGATGTGGAGAAATCCGCGGAGGAGGGATTTATGACATGCTTTCCCTTCCCACTTCCGCCTGGCTTATCGCCGGGACCCGCCAAGGGCCAAAACGCCGCGCCTTTTCTGGGCCAGAACCAACCAACCAGCCGTTAGCCTTCGTGTTCCTTCGTGGCCTCTTTTCCTTTTCTCCTTCTTCTTCTTCTTCCCCCTCTCCCCCGTTTTTCCATCTTTGCTGACCAGGTTTGCTATTAACGGGTCGCAATGCCGGAACAACGTCAGCGCAGGGAGGAGCCGGAGCAAAGCGTGCGTATGCTTCAATCTGCTTTTGTTTGGTACTGGATTCGATGGGTTAGCTGACAGTCGCTTTTGCTTGCTTTAGTCCGGCTTCAAGGGTGCCCTTCAGGGCCTGGCTTTCTTCTTGTTGGCGCAGTTTGTGATGAGCCAGTTCTTTGGGTCAAAGCAAAACGCCGGCTCAGGAGCAAAACCTAGTGATGTGCCTTCTTTCAACACGCGTCCGCCTCGCAGCGAAGTGTCCAACTACAGCCCCGTCCCTGATCTCGTTACCCCGATTTGGCCCTCCGATAGTGCCCTGGACCTGAATATCTATGTTTCGCCTTCGATTCTTGTTCCTGGATTCAAGTCTTTCCCATCGGATTCGCTCGTTCTGGAGGAAAACAACTTTACTATCGGAAACTACAGTGACACTAGAGAAATCGATACGACCATCAAGATCCCCAAGGAGGTTCAACGCAATGGAACTCTCTGGGCGCATTTCTTTGTCGGACTCACCGGACACCAGCTCGACCCTACCGCCAAGGATTATAGCACCGATAGTGCCGTTCATTTCTTCCGCCCCTTGAACCAGTACCTCCCGAAGAAGAAGGTGAAGAAGTTGAAGAACCTGCTGGCTTCGTCAGAGGAAACCCAGGAAGAAGAGGATGATGGCACTCCCGATGTCTCCATTGCGTCATACTACCACCCAAACTTCACCGTGTCTGTTGTTCCTGACTCGGGTGCACAGAAGTACCGTCAGGTTCACCCTGCTGTTAGACAGCATATGCAGCTCGAAGCGACTGGCGCGCGGGATGCCACCGGGCAGAATGGCTGGTACTATCCGATTGTGTTCCTGAACACCTTTTGGCAGCTCAGAAGCCACATGATGGAGCTTAACTCGACCGTCGAGACCGTTCCTATGCGTATCACTCTCAACAACTTGCAGAACTGGAAGTTCAGCATGATGGCAAGTGTTGATGAGAATGCGAAGGCAAATGCCAAACAGGCGGCTTTCGGTGGCCAGACACCCGGTGGCGGCGACGGCACTGAGTTTGAAATGGTCAAGGAAGTCCTGCTCGACACGAACATCTACCTGCTCTGCACAACTGGTGTGGTTACGATCCTGCATATGGTCTTCGAAACTCTGGCCTTCAAGAACGATATTGTAAGCTTATCACTTCATTCCCCTATTGGGGCCTTTTTGTTTCAAACGCTAATGGGTATGTACTCTGAATAGTCTCACTGGCGTAAGAAGAAGGATGTTGTCGGTACCTCCGTTCGTACCATCCTGGCGAACGTCTTCATGCAGGCGGTCATTTTCCTCTACTTGATGGATAACAGTGAGAACACTTCGTGGATGATCCTCGCAAGTCAAGGTTTTGGTATCTTGCTAGAAGCCTGGAAGATCACCAAAACCGTAGACGTGCGCTTGCGTCCTCCGCCCGCTGGGTCGTTCTTCTCATTCCTGCCTTATGTTATCGTCTTTGAGGACAAGCACAAGCTCAGTGAGACGGAGCAGAAGACCAAAGAGTATGATGAGATCGCATTCCGCTGGCTGTATATCATTGCCGTCCCGCTCTTGGCCGCGTATGCTGTGTACAGCTTGATCTACAACACGCACAAGTCGTGGTACTCCTATGTCATCGAGACGCTTGTTGGCAGTGTCTATGCCTACGGCTTCCTGATGATGGTGCCTAGTTTGTACATCAACTATCGGCTGAAGGTATGTTTCCGTTCTTGCACCCACTCTTGTAATGACCCTGCTAACCCACTATGATAGTCTGTCGCTCATATGCCCGGAAAGGCACTGACGTACAAGTTCCTCAACACTTTCATCGATGACCTTTTCGCTTTCACCGTTAAGATGCCTTGGCTCCACAGATTGGCGACTTTCCGTGATGATGTCATCTTCTTTATTTGGCTCTACCAGGGCTGGAAGTACAAGGTTGATTACAAGCGTGTCAACGAATTCGGTCAGGGAGGCGACAGTGATGAGGAGGAAGAGGAGCCCACATCGGCTGAGGAGCCCAAGGCCAAGGAGACAGCGACTGCCTCCGGAAAGGCAAGCTCTAAGCAGCCGGCTAGGAAGAGGAAGTAGACGCAATTGGCTTCATTCTTTCTAGATGTATTTCCAAATTACTGTCCATAGTTGAGATGTTGGAGACATTTGTGGGCCATAGCTTTTTGTTCCCCCCACGATGTCCATTACTATCAATCGCATAATGAGGAGCTGTATACAGCTCAAGATCATCTAGATCGAGGTTTTCGGTGTTAAGTAGACTAATCCCTCTGCCATCGAGGGAAAGGACGTTAATAAGGCCAGTGTAGCGCATATAAAAGTGAGATATTGACTTTAGGCGGCTATCATCCGTCAACTAGCTGCGACTGAGACGCCTTGAACAGCGTTCATTGATGATAAATATCTACGGACCAGAACAAGGTCTCATGAGGCGGCCAGAAGTTAAGATGTTTTGAAGCGTATTGTGAAGCGTTCATGGTGTTTGCAGTTACAATCTGCGACGCTGGCATTCGGCGTGCAAGTGGTTGTTGGACACCCGAAATGGTAAAGTTGCGCTCTCAGTCAGGCTCCATTTCCCGCGATCAACTCAAACAGTTCCACGCGACGGAGGTACATGTTGAAAGCGCACTTACCACGGCAAACAACGATTCCAACGTCCACATACTGTATCGATCGCGCCAAGCTAGACAATTATCAGGCGCTTTATGGTATTAGAGCCTAGCGAGCTGTTTACTCAGTGCGATAGTCCTGCTTTTGCGCGTGATGCGCCTGGTGGTGCGAAACACTTACAAGAGAAGCACGGCTTTATTTAGGCAGGAGGACGAGAAACATATTGATTAATTCATAATATTGATAAGCTATCTGCGAAACAGACATGTCGTCCGACTCCGAAAGAGGTTTGTCGAGCCTTCTTCGTACAGGATCGAGTTTGCTGATGGTGATACTAGACACCGAAGTCAGGCCTAGTAGCCTTGAAGATGCGATCGAGCACCTTGAAGCAGGTAAATCCAGTGAACAAGGCATGGTTCCCAAAAGGTTCGCATCATTAATGTATACCCAGTTGCTTTCGTGCCTCCAAAACAACGATATACGGATGCTGGCCAGTTGGCCAAAACAATAGCAACCCACGCGTACGAGAGTGGCATACCGCAAGCTGCCCTCGAACGCTTGCTGAAGCTCCTCACGACGCACAATGCTCTTGACCAAGGCACGGTTACCACATTAGTGAAGAACTTGTACCCTCTGGAAAGGGTATCTTCCAAACTAATCACACGAGTTGTGTGCTGTCTTGGTCCCGCTAAGACGAAGCCTAGTCCTGCGACCCAGGCATTACTTGTGCGATGGCTGATTCTTGTATACGACTATCTCGATGACAAGACTCATCTGGCAAAACTATATGCCGTGCTATTCAACTATCTAGACATGATCAGTCTACGCAAGCCTCTGTGCCAATTGCTTTCGTTCATCACGAGGCGTAAGCATGTCAAACCCTTTCGTATCCAAGCTCTTATGGAATTAGTCAGCCTTTCTGGAGGTGAAGAGAAAGAGCTCTTGATTCTACTTAATGTGTTCAAAAACTACTGTCCTGATGTCATTGTTGGTGACCTCGGTTTCACGGGAAGAAAGGCATCCTTCTTCAAACACCCGGACCCTGAATGGACCGCTCATGTCAGAGAAATTCAGGATACCCACCTTGAAAGGTTGCAGACAGTGCAGCCATCGACGTTCCAGGTCGTATATCGCGGCCTAGCAAAGAGAAGCAAGGTAGAGGCCATTGTTCCTGATGTGAAGACATCAAGGGTGTCTTATAGCCACACTTCTTTGGAAGAACTGCGTGGTGTTGAGCATCTTGTTGACAAAATTGACAAGATAGAATTACCTAACCAGATCATATCCATGTTGGGGAATAACTTAGCGCAGAAGTACCTTTTCCTGGCTCGTTCTGAGGCTGCAGATCGCCGGTTGAATGACTGGCTCAGAACGTTCTTAAGTGACCAATTGGAAATCGCGCGGGCAAATGACGTAGAAGACCATGAGAGCTTGGGTTACATATTGGCTTTGGCGGTTGAATATGCGCAATACACGAAGGTATTCCCCTTCAGTCACTACTGACCTACCTTGGTGGCTTACATGGGTACAGGAAATACCGGACGCTTTCACATCGTTTCTCAAAAAGTACCTCATCTCCTGGAATGGCGAGGACAACAGAGAGCAGATACTTGGGCTTCTCGTGTATCTTCCCGTTCTTGACTTCGATACTCTGAGCAGTGATTTCTTGACACCACTGGAGAGAGCACTCCTCAACGGAGCCATTTCATCAAGAACATCTCTGCTTGATTTCTATTCGGCCTTGATCCGTCAATGGGGAATCCAGTTGAGGACCAATTCAAAGACGACAGAGGAATTCAAGCCATTGGGCCGCCTGATATCCCACGCAGAACTCCTAGCCTTATCGACGTTAGAGTGCTTGACCTCAATGCCGGATCCCACAGATGCCCAACATGAGAAACACAAGCCCGCCACATTGTCCATCTTGGACTTCTACTGTACCCTAGCCGAACTTTTCACACACGCATCCACGAATGGGAGCATTCGACTTACTGTCCCGCTAGCTCCTACAGTTTATACACTTGCCTTCACGCCCATAAACTCAGTCATCTCCATCATGTGCTCAGTGCTTGCCAGCTACAAGTCGTCCTTTGAGGCTTCCCTCACCTCTCAGGTTCTCCGGGTCCCGAACTCTCAAGACTCGCTCTATCCGACAGAACTTGTGGGTCAATTCAATGGCTATATCATGGACATCTGTAACCTGATCTGGCGGAACCGAGGTCTCAACTCCGAAGACCCCAACGCTGTGGGCTGTTCAATACCGGCCCCTACCGTTGCTGCGCTGACGCGATTCATTCGTGAGTACAATGAGAAGGAAAGAAAGCGCGATTCCTCTTTCGTCTACACAATATCCTCGGTCTTCTCTCTCAGTCACCACGTGGCCCTGTGCAACTTGTCTGCGGCCTGCTTCTCTGACATCGAAGAGGAGAACAACATTGGCGACGAGCAGCCCAAGCTGAGGAAGCCAGTGACGCAGAAGGCACTGAGTGCGCTGGAGAAAGAAGGAGGTATGAAGATGGCGTGGCAGGAGTATAGAGTGCGGATGCTTGACTGGCTTGACGCGACAGGAAGCGTTGGAATTGGTAATTTGATGCGGAGCACGATGAAGGCTTTGCGGAAAGAGTAGAGGTGATTTCAGAAGCAAATCCACTTATGCTTTCGTCTTGGAAGAATTCGAAATCCATACACGCAACGATATCGTGTTTCGTAGTAATATAGTACAGAAAGGGCTCGACATGCCGCCAGTCACCCTAAGGTTGTTCCGAGCTAGTGTACACTGTGAGGTAAAAGTATGAGAAGCCCCAGGCCGTAGCCGTGAAAGGCATCAAGCGCCCAAATCGAACAAACATCAGAAGCGCTGAACCGTGTTCAGGTAGATATCTCGTAGACTTGGCTCTTCTCGAAGGTCACTGATGATATCCTCCATTTCCGCGACTTGCGCCTCATCCTTGAGATCGACTATTGTGTCTTGGTTGGGATCCCAAATGATATCCAGCTCCTCGATTGACATGCCAATCATTTTACTGAGGGCTTCGCCCACACTCTTTGTTTCTGTAGGTTCCGTGAAGACAAGGAGCCGGCCTTGTTCATCCGCTGTGATGTCCGTCGCACCTGCTTCGATAGCCTGGTCTATATAGTTGTCGGGATCCACCCCATCCTTCTTCTCGAAAATGATCCTGCCCTTCTTCTCAAAGAGGTATGTGGTAGGTGTGACGATGCCCCCGGCATCTTTAATAGCATGTCGAACGTCTTGCAATACGCGGGCTTTCTGATCGGTCAGGCACTCGAGAACGGCCGCAACCGAATGCGGGAGAATAGCCTCGACTGTGACCTGCTCCAGAGCTTCACCAGTGACACTTATGCCTTGTCCTCGAGCAACTGCCGCTTCGATCACAGTCTTAGGAATTCCTGCTCGCTTTGCATTCGAAAGGGCGAGGGTAAGGCGCGGGTTGAATTTAGGATCGGGACCCCACACTGCTTGAAATCAGTACCAAGGAATGACGTGGAATTGATTGCCGAAACTCTTTAAGTACATACTCTGAGTCGCATTGCTGATTTCTTTGCCGATAAGCTGGCGTTCCTTGCTTTTGGCCTTGTCATTCTTGGCCTTGTCATGTTTGATCTGAGACCATCGATTGTGACCTGCAAGCCACGGAGCACTGGTGGTGAGGGTACGGCAACCGTCGCTCACCATCCAATTCGCGCGGGCAACCCGCTGCTGCACCAGACGTTTGCATACGATCGTCGTCATTGCAGAAAGCTTCGATAGAACATCCCCGCAAGCGCGTCAGGTCCCTGAAAAAGTGTCTAGAATCGCGATCTGATAGCGGGGCCGGTGCAACAGTTTCTCCGCGACCGCCCCCGGACGGAGGCTGAGGCCAAGTGCCCGCTTAAAGGGGGGGAGATCCATCCCATCTCCATCCCATAGAAAGTCTGGCCGACCTGTCACACCAGATAGTGGTCGCATCGTGCTCACCCTTTCGCATCTCACCTCTGTTCATTCCTTGTGAAAGGGAACCCTATGGGTGACCCTTTAGTCGCCATAGTCGATCCCAATGTCTTCATCGGAAAACGCTACGTCTACTAACTCCGACAACCATGCGGTCCCCCGAGCGGAGCTTGATATCACCAAGCTCCATGCGCTCCCCTCCGAACAACAGGACCTGTACCTCCTCACCTTCACCTCCGATCTGGTTCAACACATTTCCGGCCTCGATAAGGCTCAAGTATCGTCGCAGCAGAAGTTCTTGAAAAAGGAATTGTTCAAGATACTCACGCTTTCCTCGCCCACCATCACGCGAGTCATCCGCAATAACCTGGGCCGGTGTTTCGGGGCAATCTTCAGCAAGGGTGATCGTGGCATACTATTCGAGACCGTTACCGACCTATTAGGGCTTCTTAATACCGGCAAGAGCGATGCGGAATTGAAGACTAGGTTCGCTGTAGCCCATTGTATGGGCGAGGTCTTTGCGGTCGCCGGAGAAAGTGTCTTTGCGCAATCAGGCGTTGTCGTTGCAAGCTTGCTCAAATTGCTCAAAGCGTCTAGCAATCATACTGGATGTCGTGGGTCAACCTTTGCCGCGCTGCGAAAGGTGGTGGTTGGCACTGGAGTTCCCGTCGACGAAGGAACTGCGCGCGACATCTGGAAACAAGCTCGCAATGCCGCAACCGGGGACAAGTCAACCTTTGTCCAAGTGCATGCCTGTCGCTGCCTGGAGCAGTTAGTGAACACGACACCCTACTTTGACAATACGAACGACTTCGACCATCTGAAGACCTTGGTATGGAAAGTCATTGACAGCCCAGTGGCCCCGGTCAGACACGCGGCCGCGGCCTGCTTGGCTCGTGCGCTGGCTAAGTTGCATGCTACCGATACCCCGATCATCTCGGTCCCGAAGTCGAAGAAAGCAAAGAGACTATCAAAGAAGCCGACTGCTAAACCTGGAGAGGATGAAGAAGAGGCCGAAATCTCAGAGTCCTCTGCTCCCAAGAAGGCTGAGCCGCGTTTGTTCTTCCTCCTTCCTGACCTTCTTCGTCAGCTATCTGCGCAGTATTTACGGAGCACAACTTCCAACCGGGCCCGCGCAGGTATTGCCATCTGCTACAAGCATGTTTTGCGGATCCTTGGGGATAAGATCATTGAGGAACGTTACGGTCAAATCGCGAATCATCTGCTATTTGATATTCTGAACCACCCCACGGTCACATACAACCGATTCAGACTTCTTATGACCAGGAAGTATGTCAAGAGTATCCTTGAGGATACCGTTGGCCGCGAATCACTCCGGGAGACTAGTCAGCTCAATGCGGCCAAGTGGCTGATCAATGATGTTCTCAAGGATTATCCTCAAGTAATCCAGGAACGCCGTGAGCCGAGCAAACATTCCCTCACGAGCGCCTTGAGTGCACTTTCTTCTTTGATTGAGTCGCTTGGTTCTGCTTTCGGTACCCTGGCCGAACCGTGTCGCGAGGCTCTGCTCCAAGTGCTACCGCATCCTAGCTATACTGTCCAGATCCATACAGCTCAATGCTTACGCAACTTCGTTCTTGCGTGTCCGCACCAGTTGTTGTCCTGTGTCACAATTTGCCTGAACAGCCTGAACCGAGAAGTGGGACAGTTGTCAACCCCCAGACAGTCGCCCCGTCGCTGCATCGGTTATGCCAATGGACTCTCTGCTATGCTAAGTACATCCCGGCTGCAGCCTCTTTACGGTTCAGTAGAGGTGTTCTCGCGTGTGTTCACCCAGGCGACCGATCTCCTGAAGACTAGTAGCAACTCGGAACTACGTGCCGCCAGTACACAGATTCAAGTTGCTTGGATCCTAATCGGAGGGTTGATGCCACTTGGCCCTAGTTTCGTAAAGATTCATCTCTCTCAATTATCGCTACTATGGAAGAATGCGCTCCCCAAACACCTGAGTCAAGAAAACTCCGGCAAACGCGGTATATTGGAATTGAGCTTCCTTGCACATGTGAGGGAATGCGCTCTAAGCTCGCTATTGGTGTTCATGGAGTTCAATAGCAGACTTATCACTGCTGACGGCGCGAAGAGAATCGCCATAATGCTTCAAAACACAGTTGAATTCCTGGACGATCTGCCCCGGCAAAAGACTGCCAACGAACTTTCGCAACGACTTCATCCATCATTGCAACTTCATGATATCGAAACCATGGTCCGGCGCCGTGTTCTGCAGTGCTTTACTAAGCTACTCCGGGTTCATCCTCTTAGCCATGCCGATGTCATTTCTCAGTCTAGTCTATTGAGCTTGGCCATCTCCTCGTTTGCTGACCCCGATGCGGCCCAAGCTGGTCCATTGGAGAGCTCAATTGCGGCATCTACCGCGCAATTCGAGACTTTGTGGGATCTATGTGACAACTACGGCTTCGGAATGACAGGCCTGGCGAGAGAGTACGTGCGTGTCACCCTTACTGGCAAGCATGGTACCGATAATGGACCTGCTTGGTCGGCCGTTGATTCAGCGGATCAGGCTGTGGATGAAGCTGTGAGTTATCTGCGTTACTCTCATATTATATGTAGTAGGACTGACATCTTTGCAGTTGACTTTCCCTATATGCCAAGCAAGCGAACATGATTCTCTACTTTTGTACTCGAGGAGGGAAGAAGATTCTTCTCTGGCCGACCCCCATTCCACTGGTGTTGTGAATGCTGCCATTGAGCTATTCTCTGTCGCGATCCCCCTGCACACCCCAAGGGTCCAGGAAGGTAGCGTAGAACAAATTGCAACCTTCCTCTCATCCACCAGTCTCCAGCGGAATCCCGGGCGCAAGGCTGCTATGGTCGTCAATATCGCTGTGGCACTACTACATGCTCTCAAAGTCTCCGTGAAAGAGTCCGGTTTCACATCTGGGAAGCTCAATCCTGCAACTGATAAGGTGTTGCAGGAACTTGTTCAGGTAAGTCTCGTTGACAGAGTTATGATGGAAAGTCTATAACAGAAAGCTAACTGACGCAGAAATTTGTAACCGATGCTGATTTGACTGTCCGGACAATCGGAGTTGAGGCACTCGGACGTCTTTGTGAGAGCTCTGGGACCGCTTTCACCAATACACAGATCAACTGGCTGGTCGACACGATTGTGGAGAACCGTGAGCCCAATACCCGTGCTGGCTGTGCTGCTGCCTTGGGTTGCATTCATTCCCAAGTTGGTGGTATGGCAGCTGGTCTGCATCTTAAGACCATCGTGGGCGTTTTGATGTCACTGTGTAGCGACCCTCATCCTGTCGTCCACTTCTGGGCTCTTGGTGGTCTCGAGAGAGTTGCCAACTCTGCCGGATTGACCTTTTCGCCCTTTGTCTCAAGTTCCCTCGGGATGCTGGCTCAGCTATACAACGCGGACACTCACAATGAAGAGGCGGCAGCCCTAGCGACCTCCAACATCGAAATGTCCTTCCTCACCCCGGTCGTGATTAGTCGCTGTGTTGACTCCCTTATCAATGTTCTCGGTCCGGATCTTCAGGACATTGCTAAAACACGCAACCTCATTCTTACTCTTCTTCGCCAGTTCCAGTTGGAAGACAACTCGGCTCTAGTCACTGAAAGCTCTAAATGCTTGGATCATCTCTCCCTGTATGCACCGGGATACGTTGACTTTTCTGGATACGTAAAGCGCCTGCAGAATGAGCTCAGCGCTGGCAACCCATTGATGAGGGATGTGGCTATCCGGGGGTTGAGTAATCTCATGAAGCGTGACGCCGGAGCTGTGCTCCGCACTGCCACTCCGACCCTCGAAGAGGAAATTTGGCTTGCATTCGATGATACTCCAGACTGCCCAATCCTCAGAAGCATGATTCAGGATTGGCTGCAACAGACGGCCCTCGTGGAGACGGAGTTATGGATACAGCGCTGCCATAACACGCTGACCAAGACTCGTGTTAAGGTCGAAGATATCCCCCTAACATCTGCAACCAGACCTGCTGGAAATGACATGCCAGATGATGAAGTTGCAGGGTTTGCGTCCGCAATCGCAGGTGCTGGTCAGACAGAAGAGGTAAATGGCGCTGTCACTGGCCAGGAGCTTCTCAAATGGCAGACCCGGAATTTCGTTATGAGCTGTCTTAGCGAACTTTTGGCACTTGTGCAAGAGGCAATTCTGCCAGATCAGACCATCCCTGCCGAGCTTGCGCTGCAGCAGAAGGTTGGAGATATCGTCCGAATGGCTTTCTCAGCATCTACTGCCAATGTAATTGAACTTCGAGTCTGGGGACTACGGATTATCGATCAAGTTCTCAAGGTACGTTGACCTTGTGCATGGTGAAATTGTCTCGCTCTGAGCTAACAACTCTATCAGATGTTTGGCAAGACACCCGATCCAGACTTCACCGAGGCATCCCTTCTGGAACAGTATCAAGCCCAGATCGGATCGGCTCTGACCCCTGCGTTTGCTGCCGACTCGTCTGCGGAATTAGCATCAGAGGCTATCAATGTCTCTGCGACATTCATTGCTACCGGGATTGTGACCAATGTTGATCGAATGGGTAGAATCCTAAAGCTCCTGGTTCTTGGCCTCGAGAACTTTTCTAGTAAGTGCCATATGATTTTGCAGTGGAATTCCGCTAACAACCCCCAGAAAACCTTGACACCACCGAGATTGGCGACCTCAAAGGTCTCAACCCGAATGCTAGGGTCATGGTCAAGATGGCCTTGTATTCTGCCTGGGCACGGCTCCAGATTGCTAGTATTGAGCAGGACTACCTGAACCAAGTGGTTCAGCCGTATCTCACGAAGCTCAC